TATACACAGTTATCATAAAATGTAGCCCTATACACAGTTATCATAAAATGTAGCCCTATACACAGTTATCATAAAATGTAGCCCTATACACAGTTATCACACTTCGGGTTTAGAGTAACAATAACAAAACAACACAACATACTGGACTATACGACTTCTGAAATAATAAGCATTAAAAACAATAAGACTGTCAATATTTACACAAACTCGTCTGTATAGGTCCATAGTACAGTCTGGTTGTCTGTATAGGTTCGTAGCACAGTCTGGTTGTCTGTATAGGTTCGTAGCACAGTCTGGTTGTCTGTATAAGTCCGTAGCACAGTCTGGTTGTCTGTATAGGTCCGTAGCACAGCCTGGTTGTCTGTATAGGTCCGTAGCACAGCCTGGTTGTCTGTATAGGTTCGTAGCACAGTCTGGTTGTCTGTATAAGTCCGTAGCACAGTCTGGTTGTCTGCATAGGTTCGTAGCACAGTCTGGTTGTCTGTATGGGTTCGTAGCACAGTCTGGTTGTCTGTATAGGACCATGGTACAGTCTGGTTGTCTGTATAGGACTATGGTACAGTCTGGTTGTCTGTATAGGACTATGGTACAGTCTGGTTGTCTGTATAGGACCATGGTACAGTCTGGTTGTCTGTATAGGACTATGGTACAGTCTGGTTGTCTGTATAGGACTATGGTACAGTCTGGTTGTCTGTATAGGACATGGTACAGTCTGGTTGTCTGTATAGGACTATGGTACAGTCTGGTTGTCTGTGTAGGTCCATGGTACAGTCTGGTTATCTGTATAGGACTATGGTACAGACTGGTTGGTTATTTACATAATATAATTCCTATACCTTTTCACGGTGTTTTTTCTCAGTCACTAGACTCAATAACCAATTAATTCTAATATTTTGACACATACTGAAACATTCTTCTTGTATTACGATTTGTCAGTTTACCGATGGCCAAGTAACCCAATAACCGAGTAAAAATTTCTAATTTCTAGACTGTGTTCTCTGGTGTATAACTTTACATGCCTCGTGGGAATGTTTGCTTCTGACGGTCACGAAGACCTAATTTTTTTTAATTAAGGCCGCCATGACATGTTGCTATCGTAACCGCGTGTCATGGGTTTTTAGAGTTACAAGCCTTCAGACTTATCGCTGAGCAACTGGGGTTCCCATGGTGATCAGCTATAAATTTAAGACTTACAAAACAGAAATTCAAGGTTCGATTCCCCGGATGGCCATCGCGCAGCTAAAACATTGCGTAGGTATTTGCGCTAAAACAATCAAAACTTTAAACACAATGTTGCAAAAATTATATAATATTTCCATATTTCGTAGTTATGTAAGACGGTGCTTTTATAATACATTAAAGCGCCGATAGGGGGATAATATCTGATATAGACATGCCCAGGACAAATATCAATTACTGTAATAAAAAATAAATAATTTCTATAGAACATAGAAACTCTTCCTTAGAGGTCGCTGAAACTGCAGTAAAACTTCATCAATGCAGTAAATCTGTTTTCTAACCGCCTGCATATTTTACACTGGTCACGTGCTCTGAAAGAATTGGAATTTTCAACTTGAATAACTCCTTATGCGCACGTCAGTTAAACGACCAGGTCAGAGACCCCTAGGGTTCAAGCATGGCTGTTCCTCATTTTGAAGACAGACAGACAGGCAGCAGCAAAACCCACCACAAAGGCTTGGTACGGCTCTTCGAACCAAATAATGATATTGACTGTCACTTTTATAACACGTCCACATCACGAACCTCCGACGCTATACCACTAGGACACGCTCCGTCCGTTTTAAGAGTAGGTAAGGCACACGTGCACATCTGCAATCTGTTGTTATCTATTTCTGTAGTTAGTGAAATTGTAACACTGGAAACGAGGTAAGTCTTTATATGTATACCAAAAAATATCATATTACAAAATATAATACACAATTCGTACTCACTTTAATACAACCGATTAACTTTTTTTATTGAAAGTTAAATTGATAGAAAACAACTATCACAAATTAATCAGCACGTTTTAGGCTTAACAAAGAGTCACGTGTTCGCAAGTTTCAATAATGCGATCAATATTTGGACTTTATGCACTTTGATTGAGGTACGAGTTAGATAAAATAGAAACTAGGCTTAAATATTTTAGCAGTTTTTAAGTTGAAAAACGTTCATCTTTTCTTCGAGGATTTTTTGATTAAGTAAATTGTTTTGTGGATTGTCCTAGGCCAGCCCGATTATAAAATAATTGTATGTTGCTTTGAGGTTTTTTTTTTTTACTCACCAGTTGAAAGACTTGTCACTGGGTTTAACAAATCGTTATTGTCATACGAACTCCTCATGTCTGTTGGTGCGTTCCCTTTGAATATGACATCAGTAATCCATGATCTCAAGCGACGTTGGTTTTTGATTTCACGGTTGATCAACTTACAACTTTGAAAATTCATGTACACACCAAAAATCTCTCCTTTTGTTATCGGGGAAACAAAATATGTCCTACAGAATTAATATGAACCTAAGTCCATTGGTGTATACGTAAAATACATGTCCACGCGAATGTTCTATTGTTTTCTTTTGAGATTGTCGATAACTGACTCACAGAGATGACTGAATGAAACAACATTGGTGATTTATTACAGACAAACCAAGCGAGGTGTAACAGGAACTTACCTAACAAATAATGTAGTGTTACGTCTCCGTTTGTTAATTGATTTTCCGTAAGTTCGTTCCGACGAAACTTTAACGACACAAGTCTTTACTTAATAAAACTGGTTTATTCTTTCTGAATATAACTTTACGATACACTTAATCTCAATACTCGCGCTAAAACAACACTGTAACGAACGAACGTTAACTTCAACAATACTCTGTGACTGCAGTTCAATTACTCACTATC